TGGGTAAAGCCCGTCAGTGAAACGATGTGCTCGCTGTGCCTCGGTACGCACCAGATCTGGAACAAAGGCTCCAAGTCTGGTAAACTCTCTATCGTACTCATCAACAGAACGAGTACCCTGCTTGAGCGACAGAAACTGCCGCTCCATCTCAGCTCGGTAGTACGTGGGATAGTACTTCTCACGAATCATCTTCTTGAACCTTTCCCAGGTACAATCTTCTTTCTCGCCGGGGCGCATACTCCAGTAGGCATTCCACCAGAGTCGAGCATCGCCGGTCAACTGAAGCTGTGCGCAAGTAACACGATAGCGATCTGGACAGTCCATGACCTCAAAAATCAATTCAAGGCCCTGAACCCATTCATCTACGATACGCGGATCTCCCTGGCCGGAGAATTTCTCAGGACGGTAGTCGCGGAACTGTGCGACTATCGAGGCTTGAGGAACCACCGGATGATCGAGTTCTCTACAGGGCGGCATCTGAATATTGGAAAGATTTAACATGATCAAAATACAAGGAAAATACTTTAACTGGTCATTCAAGCGCACAAATCTATTGACGAGTTGCTAAACATGACTGGGAAATACTGACATTAAATTCTGAGTATACTGACTACTGATCTTGAACATGATTCGAGCATCTTAACTATATTATAACTGAGAAATTTCTGAGCATAGAAATAGTAATTTGTTTATAGTTTAAAACATGAATCAGCACTTACCTGTAGTCGGTGAGGAATGAGCGTGACGTGTTCAGGTTTTCGAAAATTTTCTGACTCGTGAAAATTTTCAGAGACGCAGAAACGTGCTCTTGTAATATCCCGTCAGATTATTAATATAAATCATTTTTTAGTTCTGATATAATAATATTGTCGAGAATTATTTTTCGGAATTAATTATTTTCAGTCGAAATTACCCGAAATTATTTTCGACGTCCCGTTTATGTTCGGAATAATTTTTGGTAATTGAGTATTATGTCTAATTAAATAATTGAGCATTAATTGTGCTTAATTAGAGAGATAATCAAGATTAGCCTAATTAATGCCGTAGGCATTAAATTGAGTTTCCTCAAATTCTTTTCAAATTACCGTGGGCAACTTTCTTCACTTAAAGGAAACTTGGTTTCCCTTTCTTAAGCATGATGTGGCTTTCTTTTAGTCACTAAGGTGGTGACTAAGCATGTTTATGCCACTAACAAGCAAAATAATCAAGCCAAGTGTCCCATTAATTTTTCCACCTCCTCAAGTATATGCTACACGGCTATATATATATATGTTGCAGTGTTGGGAGGAGTTCTTTTACTTGGAACAAATATTCAACATATTTATACTTAGTTTATTCAGCATAGAGAGTGAGAGAGAGTTTAGTTAATTAAGAAGCTACCGAGTACCGCACGCTAGTAACATAACCGCAAGCGCCGTGAGCTTACGCCGCACGCACGGAGACGCGAGCCCCGAACAATCCCGAGCAGCTATTGCGATCAGTCAAGGGGTCAAGAAGGTAACTTCGTCTTACCTTGAGTTATGTTAGCTCCGGTTTTGCTATGATCTTGTTCATGATACGGCTTAAGCCGTTTGTGCGTGCGTGTAGTCCATTTAGAGCATGTCACGTTCTAATTCGAATATCTCAAGTAAGACTTATGTATTCAACCATGTTATTAAATATTATGCTCAGTTAACTTCATATTGCTCGAACAAGTTTCATGATTTATTGGAGTTATGGCCGAAGGGCGTGGTCGCGCACGTAGCGCGCACCACGGGCCGTACATGCGTAGCGAGTATGTCAAGAGTAGTCCCTCGACCATTTCATGTTATTTTGTTCAATAAATTATGTGTCATGTTCAGTTGTGTATAATTGCCGAGAAAGGATCAAGTTTGGTCGTGAAACGGCTTAACGCCGACGGCGGCGCACGGTGCGCACGCCACGGCCGTGTTCAGTTTTATGAGCAAATTCATGTTTTTAAGTAAATTCAGTATTTATGATCATGTCATGTCATCTTATGCCATTTGAAGTTAAATTGCTCGAGAGAAGTCGCCGGACGG